AGGCCAGTATTGCTCAGTGGTACCATGCTTGCCTAAGGTGCATGACCCTCTGCTCAGTTCCCAGTGTTTCCATGAAGAAGAGGCCCAAGTGCTAAGAAACTGGAGATCCCTACTGGCCAAGAGCCAACAGGGAGCTAAAGCACTCAGTGGTGTAACTGCAGGGAACTTGGTTTTGCCAGCAAACTCAGAGCAACGTTGGAAACAGATCCTTCCACAGCTGAACCTCCCTGCTTACTGTCTGTCCTGTTTTGTCCTGTCCTGTCCGTCTCTCTCCCCCCCACCCCCAGCTCACCTCCTTCCTTCACAGTAGTGGGACTGAACTCAGGACCTTCACACTGAGCTACATTCTCACTCTTTTTTTTTTGCTTTTTGAGACAGGGTTTCACTGTGCAGTTGAGACTGGCCTGGAGCTCACTTTGTAGCCCAGGCTGGTCTCAGACTCACAAGGATCCTCCTGCCTCAGGCTCTGGAGTGCCGGGATTACAGGTGAGCACCACCACGCCCGGCTACATTCTCAATCCTTTTTGTTTTTCTTATTTTGTGAAGGGTCTCCCTAAATTGCTAAATTGCCCAGGTTAGGCTTAAACTTGTGATCCTCCTGCCTTAGCCTCCAAGAGTATTGGGATTGCAGGTATGCACTACCACATCTGACTCCCTTTTTTAAAATTTTCAGGCTGGGCATGGTGGCCATACCTGTAATCCCAGTACTGGTGTCGGGGCTGAGGCAGGAGGATCACTGTGAGTTTGAGGCCAGCCTGGGCTACAAAGTGAGTTTAAGACTAGCCTGAACTGCACAGTGAAAACTTGTCTCAGAAAGACCAAAAAAATTGAAACATTCTGTGTTGCTAAATTGACCAGAGTGTACCCCATTGGCCTAATGGATAAGGCACTGTCTTCCTAAATTGACTAGACTAGACTTAAATTTGTAATCTTCCCGCCTCAGCTTCCCAGAATTCTGGGATTACAGGCACACGCCACCACACTGGGCTTCATTGTCAAATCTTCCTACAAAGCAACAGTATGATACTGACATAAGGACAGGCACACAAAACAATGGCATAAAACTGAGAGTCTAGAAATAATCCCACAGCCAAGGGTGGTGGCACATGCCTGTAATCCCAGCACTCAGGAGGCCGAGGCAGGAAGATCCTTGCAAATTGGAGACCAGCCTGGGCTACACAAAGTGAGCTCAAGGCCAGCCTGAACTGCATAGTGAGACCCTGTCTCAAAAAGAAAAAAAAAAAGCTCTGGTCAGCTGGGTTTTGGCAAGAAGACTCTCTTCAGCTGCACGCTGCATACACTGTATAGGATGAAGTTGGATCCTTACTTCAAAGAACACATAGAGGTAAATCATTATGATTTTGACTTAGCAATGGTTTCCTAGATATGATATGAAGAACGTAAGTATCAAAAGAAAAGATGTGGGTGGTCAGCTTTGTTTGGTCAAGTAAAGATGTGCCTCTGAGAGCAATTTCAAAATAATGAAAAGGGAATCCACAGAATGGGAGAAAATATTTTCAAATCATATATTTAAGTATGCAAAATATATGTATTTGTAAGCAACTCCTGCAGCTTAACAACAAAAACTTTAAAATTGAAAGCTGGGTCCAGTGCTCACGCCTGAAATCTCTGAAAGTCTGAGGAAGGAGGATCGCAAGTAGTTTTTTTTTTTTTTTGTCTTTGTGAGACATGGTCTCCCTATGCAGTTCAGGCTGGCCTTGAGCTCACTTCGTAGCCTAGGCTGGTCTGGAACTCACAAGGATCCTCCTGCCTCAGCCTCTGGAGTGCTGGGATTATAGGTGGGCACCACCACTAAGATCGCAAGTTTGAGGTCAGCCTGGGAAACTTCCCAAGATTCTGTGTCAAAACTTAAATAAATTTTTCTTTTTTTGTTTTTTTTTTTTCCGGTACCGAGAGTCGAACTCATGACCTCATCCTTGCCAGGCAGGCGCTGTGCCGCTGAGCTAAATCCCCAGCCCCTTAATTTAAATAAATTTTTTAAAAAGTTTTGGGTGGAGGTACAGGGGTTGTGAAGGTCCTGGATTCAATCTCTAGTACCCCAAAAATGTATTTATTTATTTATTTATTTTTGTCTTTTTGAGACAGGGTCTCACTATTCAGTTCAGGCCGGCCTTGCTCACTTTGTATCCCAGGCTGGTCTCGAACTCACAAGGATCCTCCTGCCTCAGCCTCCCCAGCGCTGAGATTAAAGGCGTGTGCCACCCGGATTTATTATATAGACACTCAACAAGTATTGACAGGAAGTCTGATAGCAGAAAACCAGCTAACCTCACAGACCTCAGTGGGCTTATGTAGCCGCTCAGTTTTGTTTATCACAGTACTACAGGTGGAACCCAGACCTTTGCACTGACCTATATCCCCAGCCCACCTCTTCCCCAACCTTCGCAAAATTTTGAGACAGGGTCTTGCTAACATGGGAGCTCTTAAATTTGTAATCCTCCTGCCTCAGCCTCCCAGGGTGCTGGCATGATAGGCTGCACCACCACACCTAGGTGGGCCATTAATTTTCTATTACTGTATTGCAGATTCCTTTAGTGTTGAATCAATGCAAAGCCACCCCTTCCTTTTATCTTTTAATGGCACATTTCCACCTGCTTTTGTGGTGCCTGGAAGAAGCATGGGAGGGACTGGGGCACCTGACCTAGGAAGGCCTCCCCACCTACCTTCCCGGTGGGCCAGGTGGAAGAGGGTGGGGCACTGGTCCTGCTCAGGAAGACCAACTCATTACCCCAGTTCCCCCCAGCCAGACTGACACATCCATCCCTTGAGAGGATTTCCCTAACCTTTGAGGCAGGGTCAATGTACTCTTGGCTGGCCTTGAACTCCCAGCAATCCTCCTGCCTCAGCCTCCTAATGCTGGGATGACACTCATGCATCACCCTGTCCCCCAACATTTTTGCAACCCAGATAATCATTACCCATCTTGTGGACTAAAGAACTGTTAACTCCCAAGTATAGGAATAAAATAATTCATGTAGTTTCACAAGGAGGGGAGGGTAGAAAAACTCATTGAAACTTAGATCAACTAAATGACAGGCCCAGGAATTTTTTTTTTCCTTCTCAAAAGGTAGTGATGCTCAAAACCCAGGGCCTTTGTACTGAGCTACATCCCCAGCCCTTTTTAAATTTTAAGGCAGTCTTAGTAAGTCATTCAATTTGGGATTAATTTTATGGTATGGTCCTACTTCAACTTCTCAATTGCAGGGATTACAAACATGTGCCATTCGGGCTGGGTGGCACGGCCCCTGCCCGGCCAAGTGCAAGGTTGAGTTCGATTCCCAGTACCAGAAAAAAACCCAAAAAAACCATGTGCCATCACACCATGCTGTTCTTTTCCACACTGCATACATGCAATGCTGTAAACATCTTTCCTTTTTGCTTTAGGAGAAAATGCTTTGGGCTGAGTGTGGCTCAAAGGTAAGAGTACTTATCATGTACTGAAGTCCTAGGTTCAATCCCCAGCACAAAACCATGAAAAATGGGCTTCAAAGGGCAAACTGAACCTGTGAATGAGCCCCATTTTTTGTGAAACAAGGTCTCACTACATGTAGTTCAGGCTGGCCTCAAACTCACTGGTGATCCTCCCACTTCAGCCTCCCACGTGCTGCGTTTATAGGTATGTGCCTCCACATCTTGATCCCTAGGCCCAACGTAAGCAACATTAAGGAAAGATGAACAGAAACAATTCAGAGGCAATACTTTATTGCTTATCAAGCCATTTATTTCAGTGTTAAGTTCTAACATTAACTTTTCTGTAAATGTTCATCTTGTACCTCCAACAAGGTTCCTGACAACAGTGCCCATATCTTAGGATATTTATGACAAACTAGCACCTGGTATACAGTAGATGCTCATCAAGTATTCCACTGCATCTTTTCTAATCATTTCCCACTGGCCAGTGTTTCCCGACACAGGAGACTACACACTTCAGAGGTTTATAAGGAAAACAGACCCAGCAGTCTCATTTCAAAGGGAAGATCATCCAGCTCTGATTGTATGATAGTGTAACTGGTGTGTGCGACCTTCAAAACCTGCCAGCCTCCTTTTCTAGAAGGAAAAGCATTTATCTAAAACATGTTTACTTAATTACAGATGGTTTCTAGGTATGCAAATTTAGTTTTTCCATCCATGCAAGTGACATATGGTTTTCTTTTTAAGTGAACTTAAGCAAGATTAACTCAATGATTAACTGAAAGAAAAAAAAAAACAACCTGAAGTAATGTGGAGATGGAACACAAATGCGTGAAAACTAAAAGTGCTGGTCACAATGGCACAGCTTTTAATCCCAGCTACTGCAGAGGCTGAGGCAGAAGGATCCCAAATTCAAGCCCAGCCTGGAAATTTAGTAACTTAGTGCTACCCTATCTCAAAATGTAAAATAACGAGAGCTGGAGATGGAGCTCAGTAGGAAGTCCCCGGACTCAACCCTCAGTACTAGGGGTGGAAAGCCTGAGGATGTAGCTCAGTGTTCTCTGGGTTCAATCCCCAGAGCTAAAAAAAAACAAAACATGAGAACAAAAAAGATTCAGTAAGGAATGAAGACTGGGTCAAGCAGGTGCTTTCATGGTGCAGGTCTGTTGGATGCATCAGGCCTTTTGAGTTCACTGCTGTTGCATGGCCAACATCCACGTCAGCAAGATCCCACCACATCTAGCGAGGCTCACACTGCCGTGTGCATACTACAAACGCAGAAGCCAAAGCCAAAGCCAAAGCCAAAGCCTGAAAATTAAGCCCGGCCTGGGCAATTTAACAAGACCCTTTCTCAAAAGAAAAAAGAACTAGGAATGTAGCTCAGTGCAAAGGCCCTGGGTCCAATCCCCAGTATTGAAGGGGGAAAAAAAAGTGAAGGCCAAACTAAGTGCCTACAATTTAAAAAAAAAAAAAAAATGCTCAAGCAAGATACATTCCTATGGTTGAATTGCTCCTGACTAGTAAGAAAAGTTAAAGGGAAAAAGCAAAGGTGGCATCCAAGCCAAGTATCAAGAGCTAATTAGCCAAATTTTATTATTCCATCTGCTGTCTAAAAAGACATCACTGCTGCTTGAGGGGAATGTACAACCTCTGCAACCTTCAGGCCAAGGTGGGAAGCTATGCAACTGCGTAAGAGAAGCTTGTAAGGGAGGCGGCCGAGTCTTCACCAGAATTAGTTTACAGCACATTCCAGTAACACGCCCTAGTACTGCTTACAAACCAAAGAAAGAGCAACACGTTATTTAACACATCCCTTGAAACAGGGAAGGAGGATCACTCCGTAGGAATATCATCTTTGGACTCTGCATTAGTTTGTCCCACTTCAGCTTCCACGACAGCCGGGACAGGGGCAGCTTCGACTGTGGCGCTCTCTGCCCCTGCTGCCAGCGTTACTGGCTCACTTCTGGCCTCAGCAGCCTCACTATCAGCCTCAGCTTCAGGGTTCTCCTTCTCAGATGCTGTTCCACAGGAGGCCTGCTCTTCCAGCAACTGTTCAGTATGCAGCTCACTGCTGGCGGCCGCCATGTCCACCGGGCCTTCCCCTTGGGTCAGCTCTTCACTGCTCTCTCCAGCAGTAGCTCCTTCCCCATCTACGGCCCTCACTGCTGCTGTAATCACCTCTGCTAAGACTGCTGCAGCCACCTCCTCAGGTGTCTCTTCCTTATCCTCGCCTAAATTGTCATCTCCTTCTATTTCAGGATCAACAGTTTCACTGGTGAAAGGGTCCTCGCCCTGGATAAAGAGGAAACAGATCAGTGCAAGAAATGAGAGCTTGAAGAGGCTCAGGTTTTTATGACTGAGGGAGTCCACAAGAGAAACAAACCACAGCACATGGGTTAATTCTACAGGTTCTCAGAGCACACAGATCCAAAAAAGACATCTCAGAAAAGCTTCACCAGACTATTCTGCAACTCCCACCTCTTCACTTTTTTTGGTGCTGGGGATGGAATCAAGGGCCTTGCACACGCTAGGCAAGTACTTTACTACTGAATCACACTGTAGCTCCCGAAAAGATTATTTTGTATTGTAGTTTCATGACTCCTAACCGAAAGGTTGTGCCAATTTAATGGATAAAGACAGACTCAAAACAAAGACCAGTACCTTGGCTTGAGGTCAAAATTATTAAACATCAGCGTGAAAATTCAAAACCAAGTCTGACTCATTCAGAAGTCAAACTTTATGCTAAGATTTTCTCTACCCTGGAAGGAAACTACAGTATTACTCCAAAATCAAGCAATATATTTTAAAAATACAATGCTTAGGTTAGAGGATGTAGTGTGTTCACTTAGTAGAGTATGTACTTAGCATGTGTAAAGCTCTTAAGATTCAAGCCTTAACAATTCGCAATCTACCTTGGATTTCTTTCTTTTTTTTTTTTTGGGTTTTCTCCGGTACCAGGAACCGAACTCACGACCTTGCGCTTGCCAGGCAAGCGCTTTTGCCGCTGAGCTAAATCCCCAGCCCCTGGATTTCTTTCTTTTAGACAGGGTCTCACTGTGTAGGCCCAGGATGATCTTGAACTCTCAATCCTCCTGCCTCAGCCTAAGTAGCTGGGACTGCAGGGATGTGCCACATCTGGCTTGAACCATTTATAAAGAGCATCTCACCATCATTTGCACCATGTATTATAGCCAGACAACCAGGAGTTCTCGAGGTGGGTCAACACCACTGACAGTGATTAGTCAAGCAGTACCCATCCCCAGGCAAGCACTGTCTTAGAAACCCCGTTATTACATATCCTTGCCTGATGCATTCCAATGTCCCTCAATTTTTCAAGACTTGGAAATGCTACACATTGCACTGGACACAATGCCATATTCATCCTCCATTTCAAGAGCTTATCCTGTCCTTCCGATTCCCAAGCACAAACCTTGAGGTATTTTTCCAGCATCTTCACTATGTGTCTGTTATTCAGAACACTCTTAGCCACATGGAGACTTGTTTTCTTGAACTGTTCAGCAGCCAACTGCAGAGGGAACCAAACATGGGCTTTTGAGAAGACCAGAGGACCAAGAAAACAAAGCAACCAGGACTCACTGGTTATCCCAAGGGGCAGCTATCATTCCTCATTGAGGCAAAGCTTGAAATGCTAGGCTCCAACAATGACAGAAGGCACCAAACAACCTTTGGGAGGTAGATGATGCAACCAGATAGAAAAGCTTGATAAGATAAACACAAAGACAGGCCACTGATAACCACATACCATGTGCAGAAGCAAACTATTAACTATAAGCGTTATGAAAAAAAGAAAAAGAAAACTATAAGTATTAGGGACTTAATAGGAAAAATGGGCAAGGGTTGTCACTTTTTGGTTATACTGCCTTCGTGATAATTTTATTAAGTATGAATGCCACCACCCAGATGGCTGTTTGCGAGCTTGTATATGCATACATTAATACCTTGCTTGTAGAGTGCTTTTTTTTTGCTGATCTAGTACTGGGAGATGGGTGGGCAGCTATTGATATCCATGTATATTAGTTGGGAAAAACTAAAGATAGGAGATGTCAGAGAAGAGGACCGTAAGGACTGCCAGCAGACCCAACACAGCCACACACACTCCTTATCGTTTGTGGCTACTTTTGTTTATCACTAGGCACAGATCCCAGGGCCTGCACAAAGTAGTTACTCCTCGCTATGTGCTAGGGACTGACTCCCAGGCCCCCTCAGAAAATCCAGACACTCAAATCCCTTACATCAAATGGCTGGCTTGCTTTTTCCTTTTTGAGATAGGATCTCTCTGTAGTTTAGACTACCCCTGAACTCATGATCATTCTGCCTCAGCTGCCCAAGTGGTAAGATTACAGGTATGTGTCACACTCTTCCTACATTTTAGATGACTTCTAAACCTAATACAATGTAAATGCTACATAAATACAGTTGTTGCAATCGTGGTTTGGGGAATGACAGAGACAATACCCACCCCTAGTTGTTTCTGATCTACTCTTGGCTCAATCTATGGATGTGGCGCTCAGGGCTGAGGGCCAACTGTATCTATGATCTGACTTAAAACCCCTGCCTTGCTGACCTTTGGGTTAAACACTCAGCCTCAGGCCCATCAGGCAGTTAGGACTAATCCAGTCCAAAACTCAGGCCCCCAGGCTCATCTTACATCATCTTCAGCAACTGCAAGTTTATCTGGTGATTTACAGAGAACACCCAGAACAGAATTTTAGCGATGGTACTTGATCATTTCTAAGCAACACATTTTTTCTTCTAAGCAAAACATTTTTCTAAGATGGGTCCTCGCTATGAGGTCCAGGCTGGTCTTGAATTCCTGGCCACAGATTCCTAAAAAGCTGGGACCACAGGTGTGTGTCAAGGAGTCTGGCTCACATTTTAATAAAACTGGGTGATGTCAAGCAAGCTGATGTTTTTTCCCCTCGGTATGAGAGGATTGGAAGGATGAGAAAAGACAACCAAGGGAACAAGAGACTCGATGAAATGTAGCAAGAAGCCCTATACATGTGCATGCTCCCAGTAAGACACAGAAGGTTCTGATCTATCCTCTACCCTTGCAGCCCAGGAATGTCCTCTCAGGCACTCACCCCCCAGAGGGGACTCACCCTGCGGTTATGGTTGTGGTCCACAGAATGCAGGTGCCGCTGGAGGAGCTGGTGCTGTGCAGGAATCAGCATGTCACAGGCCAGGCAGTGTGCAGCCTCAATCTTCTTGAAGAAGTGCTCCTGGCCAATCCCTGCAATGGAACCCAAATGAGTGATGCCTCCTCAGTTTCCCCAGCAAGGCTCACATTTTCTACTTTGTTGCTGTTTCTTAAAACAGGGTCTTGCTATGCAGCTCAGGTGGTCCTGTACTATGTAACCCAGGCTGTCTTTGAATCCTTCCGCCTCAGCCCTCAGAGTGCTGGGATCACAGGCACCACCACTACACCCAAATCTCCCTCCAACACTAAGGGTTCAGTTAGGACACAATATGAGACAGGTGTAGTCTGCTCTATACTTGGGAATTTTACATGGTAACCGTTCTTATTGTTCCAGTCCTCTCTTCCTTCCAAGGGGAAAAAACATCAGCTTGCCTGATGTCACTGATGAGCTTCTGGTGCAGCCTCATCTCCGTTAGGTCACACTTCCCATAGGACTTGACTTCACATTCCCAGCAGCCCTAAGCCAGGGATGGAACCTAGAGCCTTGTGCACACTAGGCAGGCACTCTATCACTGAGCCATGTCTACAGCCCTTGAGACAGGTCTTGCTAAGTCACCCAGACTGGTCTTGAACTTGTGATCTTCTTTCGTAAGCAAGTAAGATGACAGGTGTGCACTATGTCCAACTGCACTGAGTTTCCAGGGTCCTGCCAATGCCTTGTGTGGTGGATTAACAATGGGTGGTTAGAGCCGGGTGTGGTGGCGCACCCCTGTAATCCCAGCACTCAGGAGGCTGAGGCAGGAGGATCGTTGGGAGTTCAAGACCAGCCTGGGCTACAAAGTGAGCTCAAGGCCAGCCTGAACTGCATAGCGAGACCCTGTCTCACAAAAAAAAAAAAAAAAAAAAAAAAAAAAAAAAAAAAAAAAAAAAAAAAAAAACCACAAAAAAAACAACAACAAAAAAACAGTGGGCGATCAACTTGTAGCACCCAAATAAACTCAATCAGCGTGGTGCTGGGTATTGGAGGCCCACCTGAGGATTGTCGTCAACAACACAAAAGAGAACTAGAGAGGAAAAGGTGTACTGTTGATTTTCCTACAGAGGCTTGTCATGCTGGTTTTCCTGATATGAATTCAGCTGTTCTCTTCATGTCTTTATCAGAGGAGCTCAGGACCTTGCTATTGCTGAGGCTGGCTGCAGTTCTTTTCAGGGTAGCTTTAGTCCTTACTTTGAGTGTCATTTCCTGGCTCCAGTGCAGATCTTTCAGCCTGCTGGCACAGTTCTTTCATCCCACTGGTACAGACTTTCTAGCGTTCAACATGGACCTTTGGGCCTTCCTAGCACAAATCCTTGAAACAGGCTTGCATGAGACATTGTCCTGGGTTCTTGGCCTCTAGCTGAACTTGTGGAGGGAGCACTGCCATGGGCTCTAGGCCCATCAGCTGGATTACCTGGGTCTCTAGTGTGTGGACAGATCTCCTGTACTCTTTTTGCATTTCACTTTCTGGGTGATTATAAAATAATTCTATAAATTGTGTCCTGTATTGTTTCCCTTACAAACTCTGACTGTAACACTTCTGATCATCCAGAATAACCTACACCATGGGGTCACAACTCACCTTTGAAAGGGTCTGGTTTTGGTTTCGGGCTTTCCTTTTCCATCAACTCCTGACGCCGCTTCTCAATTTTCTTATTCCTGTTTATGATATACTCCTAGAGGGTGGAAGATGGCACAGAGTGAAATGAGGGTAGTGTCTGTGGAGTACTTCCCAATCACTCACAGGGCTGTAAGATGTCACTGGAGCAGCTCTATGGGCACAACTTCCAGAGCCCTTGGTTGTCCCTCTGTGACTTGGGGACTTACACAGCTGTTTTAATCTGGGAAAAGCTTCGACCACATTAAAGGCTCCGGTTTCCCTCCCCTTCTGTGCAAGGGGTCACCCGGAAACTCTGTGGCAAAGGAAAAACATCCCTTACCTGAAGGAACTCCACTGTCTTGTCAGGCAGTTTAGTGCTTATAAATCGCAGTGTCTCTTTGTGAAATTTGCTCTGCAGGTGTTTCTGGATTTCTTCATCTTCAAAGCTACGGAACTTGCACACGGAACAGGCAAACTGAATTCTGGAGAAGGAAAATGGAAAGAGAAGCAGTGAGATAGGGACACACACCCACCCCTGGGTACAGGTGAAACGGAGAAGGAAATGTAATTTCTTTTCTTCTTTTTTTTGAGACAAAGTCTCAATATGCAGTTCAGGTTGACCTCAAGCTCAAGGCAAACCTCCTGCCTCAGTCTCTCCCTGGGATTACAGGTGTGTGCCTCTACAGATGGTCTCAGGAAATGTGACTTCTAAACTAGCACAAGACTTGTAACTTCTAGCAGGGGTTGCACAGCGGTTACTCAAGCATCTGAAGAACATAACACAGTGCTAGAAGTATTTCAGGAAAATGACTCATGTACTAGCTCAGTGACATTCCAGTCTCTGGTGCAAAGGCCCCTAACAGAACACCCTAGGGTAGTGGTATTTTGAAACTGTGGGCTCCCTAAGGTCCAACTGACTGATCTGGGCCCTAAGTTTAACTCCTTAGCTTCTCACTCAGCTGAGTCTGTCCAACCCACAGGGATAACTTATGGCAACCTTGTTTCACGTGAAGAAAAATTTTTGGAAGAGCTCACAATTTAAAGCTCACATAACCCAAGGTCCGTCTTCCACAGACCCGGTATAAAGAAAACATACGAAGTTCTACAGGGAAGATGGCGCTTCTTTGTGGTGTGCTCTCAGGTCTCACTAAATACAACCAGGCTGCACATGAAGAGGAAACAGTAGCTTGCAGCACCCTGGCCCCAGAATGGGATGCGCTTTCCCAACAGACTCCAGCCCTGCTGGGGTTAAGGGTACAGCCCTGTGGCACTCAGGATCCCTCCACCGCCAACTTGAGATTTCTGCTGGCTGCCAGCAACTGGCACAGTTTTGTTCTAGTGGTGCTGGGGACTCAACCTAGGGCCTCATGCATGCTAGGCAAATGCTCTGCCTCTTAAAGTTACGCTCCAATCCCAAAACCTGGCTCTGATATGATCAGCACCCGGGGATGCTTTTGCAGATACACACCAACAGAGGAGTGAAGAGAACAGGAGGGTCTGCACACAGCGCTTTCAGAAGACCCATGGGCAATGGATTCAGCTCTCCCTGCTGTACTTCACCTCCCCTGACAATCTCTCTAATCCTTCTGAGATCCTCAGTCACTAATGCAAAGTCTGAAGATGTCTTCAAGAAAACAGAGAACCAGGCCTGGTAGCCCGTGCCTGTAATCCCAGCACTTGGAAGGCTCGGGGAGGAGGGTCAATCAGAGTGTGAGGCCAGCCTGGGCTACAAAATGAGTTCAATGCCAGCCTGACTTACAAAGCAAGATCTTATTTTAAAAAGCAAACAGTCAGTCAGTCAGTCAGTCAGTCGTTGAACTAGGGGTGTAGGTTGGTGGTAAAGTGCCTCCTTAGCATGCATGAGGCCCTGGTTCTATCACCAGTACTGCAAAAATATGTCAGTCAAGGCATCTCTGTTTCCATGTTGCCTGAATACAGACCTAACCTACCTATCATTTCTCTGTTGAAAAACAAGTTTTTATCAGTTTCTATACCACTTAGGAAAAAATAAACCTGGTTTCCCAACCTCTACTTTTAGCACTATTTGTTTTTGCAGTTCTGGGAACTGAACCCAAGGTCTCCGCATTGAGCTACATCCCCAGACCTTTTTGAACTTTTTGGGACAGGGGGTTGGCTAAGCCACTAAATTGCCCTGTATGGGCTCAAACTTGCAGTTCTGACTCAGCCTCTCAAGAGTGCTGGGATGACAGGTGAGTGCCATCATGCCCAGGTGTTAGCGTTTTTACTTTAGTATTTTTATGTACGTGAAAACCACTGTCCCAGTTGAGTATTAAGGCAAAGACACCCCTTAGGAGTCACAAAAGGAACCTGGCACAGTGAAGCAGCTGTGTGTGGTAAAGGCCACCTAGGCTACACAGAAGACCTCAATAATGGAACTGGGAGGCAGTACATGGTGTGGCCACTGTAACACCTTTCTGTTTTTCCTCTTCCTTGCACCACCAGAGATTGAACACAGGGGCACTTCTAAATCCCTCCCCCAACACACTTTTATTTTTGAGTCAGGGTTTCACAATGTTGTTAAACTGCCTCGGTAGAACTCAAACTTTGATCCTTTCGCCTCCCTCAGTGCTGGGATTCTGGGCTAGTGCCAATGTGTCCAGGTTCTTTGTATTCTTTTTTTTGTCCTTCTCACACAGGGTCTCATATGCAGTTCAGGCTGGCCTTGAACTCACTTTGTAGCCCAGGCTCGTCTCTAAGATCCTCCTACCTCAGCCTCCAGACTGCTGGGATTACAGGCATGTGCCACCATGCCTGGCTTTTTGGGTTTTTCTCCCGGTACCGGGAATCGAACTGCCAATCTTGCACTTGTCAGGCAGGCACTGTGCCACTGAGCTAAATCCCCAGCCCCAACGCCTGGCTTTTTGTATTCTTATTCTACTTCCAGACAATGTCTAAATGACAGGACCACCTATACATGTTTTCTCCCTATGTTGAACTCCAGAAGTGGTTCAGATTTGGACAGAGCACCAACGCACCTTTGAAGATTACCTTTTAGACTGCCAAATACCAAAATGTGGGGACCGGACACCCTTTTGGCTTAGTGGGGGAAAAGTTAGCTCCCTGGCGGGTATGGACCACAAAACCCAACAGCAAGGCTACAATTCCAGGAGCAAGTCAGCTATAGAAACCCAACTTTTCCGGCAAGAACAGAAACCTAACCTTACCTGTTTTCCCCTACTCTCAACTCTACCGATTTTTTTTCTGGGGGGTGTTCTTTTTGAGACAGGGTCTCGCTATGCAGTTGAGGCTGGCCTTGAGCTCTCACTGTGTAGCCCAGGATGGTCTCAAACTCACAACGATCCTCCTGCCTTAGCCTCCAGAGTGCTGGGATTACAGGCGTGCACCACCACACCCAGCCAATCAACTCTACCAAATTTCGTTCTCCACAAACTTAGCTAAGACTTCTTGATACCTGGAGCCAGGTCAAGCCCAACTCCCCTGCACTAAGGACAGATGAGCTCACAACAGCCCAGACAATGCCCAGATCAAGTGCCATTTAGTGAGGGTTCTGTCCCCACTTTTCACCTCTGAATGTCCCACTGACTCCTCTCACCTGTCCGCTGCTCGGTCCCGCATCCTGTCTCTCCTCCTTTGCTTTTCTCGTCTCTTCTTCATTTCCTCATCCTCCTCCTCCTTCTCTCCTGTAACAGAGAAGTCCTTTCGAGATGCCCTGAGGGGCCTGCAGAGGAGCTAGCTCCAGACACGCATGGGCTGCAGCTTGGCTGCTGCACCGTGCCTGGCCTCTGCCTTCACAGCATGGCAGGTACAGGACACCCCAAAGCACTGAGGGGTGTCAAAGGCTCCTGCTGGACAAGAGCCTTTGCTGAGGACCCAGAGGAGTCACCTCACTCCTGCAGCTGGCAGGCTGGGATGGACCTGCCCATCCCACTGACATGGCCCGCCTGCTCTCTTGCCCCAGCCTGGTTGTCCAACCTGGTACCCTGTCATTGAGTCTTCTCCCACTGTCATGTAAGGAGAGCTGTTCTCTCCAGACTGAGGCAGCAGCTGGGAGGCTCAAAAAGGAAAGCAAGCCGCTGTACCGCCCTCTCTCCCCCACCTCTGGGTGGGCCACGATGACAGTCCCCGTCGGCTTTGTCTGAACTAGGGGCCCAGCAGGATTAACAGTCCTTGCTGGCCCATCCTCTATCTTCTGTTCACAAAAAACTGCCAACCTAGGGCTTTCCGCTTTCCCAGGCTGCACAGGAAGTAATCCTGGAAACAAAAATGGGAAGAGACCAGTTGGTCCTCCCATGTGCCCCCTGGGGCCAGCGCAGGAGCTCCTGGCAGAGCCATGCGGCCAGCATCCCAGTGTGAGGCCAGGCCAGGTCCTAAGGCCCGGGCCAGAGGCCGGATGCTGAACAACGTTGGATAAGCATCTGAACTGTGACCCCTACCCCTGAAGCCAGTCCCGAGACTGTCCCACGAAGATGGCGACCGGCGGGCGCTGCTCAGAAGCCTCTCAAAAGGGCGTGTGGGACTTTTGGCAAGAGGTCACTGCCTGAAACTATGACTGCTGTTTAATAGCAAAGTCATCCCGGGTAGGTAGCAGGACCTGTGCGCAACAAACATGTCACCTTTGCTTTAGCATTTACCCTGCTGCATGAGCTGCTGAATACTTGGTGTAGTCCCGCACTATGGAAACAGCTGCTCCGACACATTGGCGGGTGGGGCACTCAGAAGGTTGGCTAGGGCAAGGGCCTTCATCACTCACGGACACAGGGCCCGCCCAGGATCCTTGCAGTGACCAGCTATGGACAGACCCAGGGAACAGGGGCAGAGATGAAGGCAACTATGGCTCAGGCTGCTTTTCCAGGTCCCTCCAAGGGGCATGACCTTGCTCTTTCGTTCTTGCTTCTTTCTTTGGGCTTTTGGGTCAGTCTCCTGTCCTGGACCTGATGAGACTTACACCGAGTGATGGCTTCTCTCCTGAGATTGAGCCTGGGTCCACCTGACAGGCCACCCCTGCTTGTACTACAGCTGCCAAGAGCCCCAGCACAGAGGCCGAGGGCACAGCTCTGGGCTGGCAATGGGGAAAACTGGACACAGTGAAGCCCAGGAGAGAACAGTACAGTGACCTGCACTGATCAGAGGGGGACAGAGAAGTGGCTAGAGGGAGCCTCATCTCTCTCAAGTTTCTAAGATACTTCCTTCCCTACCACAAGTGTCACAGACACCCAGAGATACCTCACCCCACTCCCCAGCCCACACGGAGTAGGTGAATGGGCTCATTTCCAGCAAATGCTGCCTCAGACACTGGGCAACGCCTGAGGATGAGCGCCATGACTGAGATGACCTAGGCCCACTCAGCAACCACAGCCCCTCTTCTATCCCAAGTGATGGGTTCCATGCAAGGCCCCAGCTGGCTCAAAAGCCCACCCTGACTAGAAGCTGGGGAGTGAATATGGGACAGACACAGAAAAACTGTAGGGACACTGGGTGATGCCTACCTCTCTGCCTCCCAGCGTCGCAGAATTCATCCTCCTGAAAAAGGGCCCAGGTAAAGTCAGACAGTGAGTCATGTTTAGAATTTTCCACAGCCAGTCTACCCCCTCCCACCACCTGGTGTGTGGCATCTGCCCCAAGACCCAGGATGCTGGGTCTTCGGGAAACAGGCACTGTGTGGGAGGACACGCCTGAGGGCCTCCACCTGGAGCCTGAGTGTCCTGTTACTACTGGTTGCCTCTAGACCATGATGATGGCTTTTTCTATCTTTAAGTCACTGACCTTCTTTTACTTCTACCGCTAGAGAATCTACCCCTAGAAAATTCATACCCACAGTTCCACGTCCCAGAATGCTAGCAACTTGTCCACCAAAGGTTGGTTAAGAAATTCTGATTTGTGTGATAATTCTGTTTTTTGTTTGTTTTTTTCAGACAAGGTCTCACTGTGTAAGCCCAGGCTGGTCTTAAACTCATAGTAATACTCCTGCTTCAGCTTCCTGAGTGCTGGGATCACAGCTGTGTGCCACCACACCCAGCAATCATGCCTAACTGATTTCATCTTTTTTTTTTTTTTTTTTTGGTACTGGAACAGAACTCGGGACCTTATGTTTGCTAGGCAGGCACTGTGCCACCGAGCTAAGTGCCCGGCCTACTTCCACCATTCTTGACTGAAAATGGGCTTTACCAACACATTTGTTTATATGCAGTCAGTGTTCTAACAAATGAACTGAATCCTAACTGAAAATATGAACAGACCCAGTTCCTTAGGCAACAAGCCCAAGATTACATTAGTGACCAGGAGACTTTCAGATTCCTAGTCTAAGCGATAAGCCTATCCCCCAAGGCAGGTGAATGGGGAGCAAGTGTAATTGAAAAGTTGTTGCTTCCTCTAACCTCCCGCCCTACTACCTGTCTAGCCACCAGAAGTACATGGGAATAGCCTTCTCAGGCCACTGTGGTTTCTGAGGCCCACCCCTGTATGGGTCAGCATCTGCAGACAGCAGGGAGGGCAGATGCTGCTTTCAGCATGGGCCACAAAAACTGAAGAATGAAGCCACAGGCCAGCATCCGGCACACAGCCAGCAGCCAACGACACCCTGTTACATGTCTGCTAGCCTGTATTTATCATATAAGTGGCCAGGTGCAACACTCCAAGGTCACAGGAGAGGCATGGGAAGGTGCTGGAAACTTTGGGAAGAGAATGACCGTTGCAGTCCCAACACTTATAAACCTGTAGGTTGTGGTACCAAATCCACTCGGAGGTGTACAGAATGGAGTCTACTGGAGTAGCTGCTCCCACCTCTTTGTGAGAACGAGTAACAACAAAAAAGCCTCTGAGACCAAAGGGGCTGACCCGTAAGGTAAACTTACACCCCGGAATTCTTCATCTCCTGACCGGAAGTCACCAGCTCCATCATCTGCCAGACATAAGGAAATAGGAAAAGTCAGTCCCTGGGCAGGGGCACCCATTCCATTTTGCTTTCCCAAGCAGTACCCTGAGTGAGAGCCTGTCCTGACCACAACAGGGGTCAAGGGATAATAGGAAATGCCACCCAAAGAACTGTGTATGCACAGCTTAGACAGGGCAGGGAATGGACTCATCTTATACCCACCCAACCTGCTGGGCCCCAGATGTACCGTTGTCCGAAAAATCGCCTTCGCTGTCAGCACGAGCCAGTTTGGCATCCGGCTCCTCAAACATTGGAAACTGCTTCCGCTTCCTGCCCATACTCTCTGGTCCGAAGCGGTCAAACCCTCTCCTCCTGGGCTACAGATACAAGCACATCCCATGTACCACTTCCCTGGGGCAGTGAGATACCCCACAGAAATAAAGAACAGAGAGTTTGCAAGATCAGAGAACAAAGGCAGGAAGAGGGCTTTTCAAAAAGCTAAAGAGACGACATAGTTAAAATTCAAAGAAATTACCAAGCTCAGTGAACAAACCAGACACAAAAGGCCACATGTGCAATTTCACTGCCATGAATTGTCCAGAAGCGGCAAAGCCAGGGACAAAAAGCAGATGAGCAGCTAAAAAGGGCAGTGGAGGGAACGGGGAAAGACTGCTGCTGTTATGTTTCTGGGCTGTAGAAATGTTCTAAAACTAGATTGTGGCAATGACAGACAGCACAATTCCCTAAACTTGTTAACAGTGGAACCCTGACTTAAAGAGTGAGTCCATCTTGTAGCATGTAAATTTTACCTCAACAGAGGGAGTTGTTGAGAGGAAAAGCCAAGGAGGCCCAACAGAACACAGTGGGTACTCACCCGATCTCTTATCCGAGCCTGTGACCGGCCACATCCGTAAGGCATGGCGTTGTCATATCCACCTGTCCCCTGCATTCCCATCATGCCATAGTCAGGGGCCATGGACTGGGAAAAGAGGGAAGGAGGCGGCCTGCTTGGGGCGGGGCCTCCCAAGCCTCGTCCACCCATGTAGTTTAGCTCATTCCAGGAAGTGTTCAGGGGCTCAGTGGAGGCTGAGGGTGGCATGAAGGGGTCACTGCGCATGAAGGTGCCAGAACTGCTCCGGTCCTGGAAGCGGCCTGGGCCTGGGCCCTGACTCTGGCCCCGGCCTCGCATGAAGCCATCAAGGGATCCTCGCTCCCGGGCTGGGTCCCGGCAGTCATTGTACTGCCCACCAAAGCTGCCATTGCGGTCGGTCCCCAGGTCAAAGTCATAGTCATAGTTGTAGTTGGGGCGGTAGGGATTATGTTCGGGCAAGCAAGGCCTAGAATCGTAGGACTCATATGGCTGGAAGCGGAAGGAGCTACAAAGAAAGTAAAATCTATCAGGAGTGCCTGGGGACCTTTTCCAGGCCACCTAGGCTGTCCGCCCCCACCCTCTTCTGCCATAAGTGGAACACCTCCCACGAAGCTGACCTCCCTGCAGCCCTCTTTGGAACCATCCTGCATGCTGTCTCCATGCTCAGAAGGCAAAGCAGAAAAATATCCGCCTTTGAACATCACCAAAGGACATGGAGCCCTTGGTCATGACCACCAAGACTAGCATGATACAGAAATAAGAATTCTCAGTCCATAGACCAAGCCCCTGCTTAGGAAACCAGCAACTTAGGGAGCTACAGTGGTCTGCCCTTCACCCCAAATGCACCAGCTCATCTTGCTGCACTCAGGTGAGCCAAGGAGGAGCAGGTACCCATCCCTACTTGCACATCTGTGTTGGCAGGGGCCCCCCAGGGAAGGGCTTAGATCCATAATCACCTCTCCCGGTCCTGCATGCCCTCCCCACCGCTGCCGCTCCCGCCCCTGCCTCCTTCCTTGGACATCATGTCCAGGCGCTGGTTGATCTTGGCAATAAGAGAGTCAGAATTGTCGTTGCATGGTTCTGGACCATAAGAGGCCATGTGCATGGAAGGGCCACCGGCTGCCAGGCCACCATCACTGGCTTTGGCGGCCTCCCATGAAGCTGGGCCATAGCTGTAGGTTGCTCCTGCAGTGACATTGGTGTTCTGGGCACCATAGTAACTGTAGTTGTCATAACCTGTCAGAGGGAAGAGGTGGGAGAGGGGGGAAGTCAGACCTTGGCAGCCACAAGGCTGCTCTAGGCAGACGCATATGTAGAGCACCCACTGTCCACTGACAAGGACGAAGTTCACAGCACCAAGTGCTGCTGGCATACACTGTGCATGTGACCAGCCAAGAGGCAACAGGGGGAGGCCAGAGGCACAGGAGGCCTCAGCTCTGAGCACTGAGTTTCCTGGGTCAGACTCTACAACTTATCTCCTCACCCCAAACCAGAGGAGGCTGAGAGGCCAGGAACGGCAGTGTGCGCTGCTGATAGATCCACCTAAGAGCGGTTGCTCTCACTGACACACCCAAAACCCTTTTGTAACAAGCTCTTCTTGGGCTGGTGCAGCCCAGGCTCCCCTCAGCACCCTGTGCTCAAACAGCAGCAAGGACTGGTCTCATGCTCAAGAGAGCCAAGAAATCCACACAAACCTGCTGAAGGGCTGACCTGCCCTCCCGCCTTCAGAAAAGCTGCAAGTAGTCAGGCTGGGGCAGGGGTGGTCGTACAGAGCCCAGGGCATACTGGCAGACTCCCAAAAGGACTTACCTTGCCAGCTGGCCACACCGCTTCCATATGTACCTGAGGGGAAACAAAAAAAAACACCAGAGCTTTATAGGCTGAACAAAAGTACCTGAAACCACCCTGGAGGGGCATGTGCTACACTCCAGAGGAGCCGGGAAGCCATGGTCACAACAGTGCTCAGGGAGCACCCTCAGCTGCCTCCTGCTGTTCTCATTTCCTACGGAACAGGGGCCAACATCTTCAGGGCTTCCTCCCAGGTAAGCCTGGCTTCTTCCACTGGGGCCGGAAAAGGAAGCCACGATCCCTCCCACTAAACTAGATGGCTGTGCAGTGCCCCGGGCAGAGCCCTTACGAAGGATCAATCCTCACCAGAAGCCAGAGCACAGGCACTGCCAAGCGCACTAATGAGGCAGCAGTGGAAACTCATGTTCAACTCAACTGAGCAGAGAATATTATATGCCACAAGTGAGTGACCAGGGAGACGGCCTCTGGCAACACAGTGACAGGCTGAGCAGTGGCCTTGCTTCCAGTGGTGCTAGGGGCCGATCCAAGGCTCATAAAAGTAAGGAAGTCATCATCTCCTAAAACAGTGGCTGGCAGAAGGCAAAAAAAACCTACCCACCAGAGAGCATGCTTCAGAATTCCAAATGGTGAAACTCACCATTTGGACTCTAGGGCAGAGATCAGCAAAAGCCCCAGGCCATATCTAGCTCACTGCCTTGTTTTTGTACAGCCCTCAAGCTAAGAATGGGTTTTACATTTCTAAATGGAAAAACAAAAAAACACCCAAAAGGACATTCCATGATGTAAATACCACATATGGAATTGTATGTACCACCTGAATTATTTAAATCTACAACTATCCTGAAAAAGTTATTACAGAGAAAACTGTGCTCTCAAATATTTATCTACAGCAAAATTAAAAAAAAAATTGCTATGATGGACTATTTTATAACACATGCAAGGAAGGAACAGGCTTCAGTGTACACACATAAATACTGGCACGTCATCATCCACTTCGTATTGTCTATGCTGATTGTGCACTATGGAGACAACATGGCCTGTAAACCTGAAGACAACTACGATCTGTCCCAGTAGAAGAAAAGTCTGCTGACCCTTGGCTTGGTATTGCCTTGCTAGGGCCCTGGGTGGGGGAAGCCAATGCCTCACTCATGATGCAGGTCCCACTTACTCTGGGTATTGGCGGGTCCAGCACTCCAGGCCCCATACCCTGCAAAAAGACAATAATGTTAAGATTCTGTTTATCACACTAAAGAACGCAGTTTTGTGGCACTGCAACATTAAAGGGATCGCCTCACAGGCTAGTTCAGTGCCCACCTTACAAGAAAGAAGCATAACCCAGCATTACCTTCTCTCTAAAAGTTACTTCCACACTGGTTGATTGCATCATCTTACCCCAGCAGGCTGAGTAAAAAACAGAAGAGGGGAGGGGACTGCGCTTGGAAGTTAGTCCTGCCCATCATCTGCTGAGGAACCTGGACACAGAACCTCCCCATTCCAAGCCTCAATCCACAACTAAAGATGACACAGGTATGACAGCGTCCCCCAATCTGTCTGGCCCACACAGCTGGAAAACCAGCTCAGATTGCCGCTGGGGATACCCCATAACTGGGAACATAACTTGGGAATTTGGTGACATAAACCATGGCCCTTTGAGTTTCACTTCCATGTGGCTTTTAAGCCCTCCAATGACTGCCTGGGTCTTCAAGTTCCAGGGCCTCAGCCCGGCCCTAATGCATCAGACTGCCTTCCCATTCCTCTATGCAGGCGGGTGTAAATCGCACTTTTAAAATTTCTGTGTCCCTAGAGTGCAGCACACAGCTGGACACAGGTAGTTGGCTGTCTATACTGTCAGAGGACATCACTTTGATGAGACCAGGACGGATTCTCATCTCCCTCACCAGAACCCCCACCACTAACTGATTGACGGGTCACTGTGTATCTACACAACAGCCAACCAGCAAGTGTTGTGGTCCCTGACTGCTCAAGAGATGAGAAAGCAAAGGCTCACAAGTTACGGGACTTGACCTATGGTCCTACTGTGACTGACATTAGCCCTCTGATCATCTCTAAAGGCTACACCCTCCCCCCGGTACAGCAAAAAAGTAGAAAGCAGATTCTAACAAGTGACCAACCTGGGGCTTCCTTATGAGGCACTGATCTATTCATTTAATCTCAAAACATTTCTTTTTTCTTCTTTTTGGAACCAGGAATCAAGCTCAGGACCTCAAATTTGCCAAGCAGATGCCCTGCTGCTGAGCTATATCCCCAGCTTCCTCAACACATTTCTTGAGACAAAAATCAGGGAGGCAGCAGTAACTTCAAGGTTTTAGAAAGTAGGAGGCAGGGGACTGCAACTGTAAGGGCACAACTTGAGATTTCTAGCAAAAATACCAGGTAGGAAAACAAACGAAGATCCAGCCAGACTGTGAAAGTCCAGCAGAGCCAGGTTGTGTGTCCTCCTAGAGCTCCGCAGACACCCAACCACAAGCTTCAGGCAATTCCCTCTACTGGGATTCTGCCACATCTCAGGATCTAGGCTTTGTTGGGCCTGACTGGAATACACCAGTAAGGCCAGCACTCCAGGAGGATGAGGTAGGAGAATCCTAAGTTTAAGCCCAGCTGGGGCAACTTAGCGTCTGTGAAAACCTATGTTACAAGTTTTAAGAAGAGCTAGAGCTGGTGCGAAGGGTCTGCGTTCAATCCCCGCTACCGGGAAGCGGCGGCGGGGGGGATCCCGCCTTCTCCAGGAGCTGCATCCAGGGATCAGACCACCCCGACCTCTTCTACAAACCGCGGAGCCCCACCCTGTACGTTAAGTACTCCTCGCGAGCAAATCTGGCTCTCAGCACAGGGTAAGGCCTCCAGAGTTGTGGAGGCTGACTCCAGAGACAGGAAGTAGATAGGCCCTAGGGCGAGCGGGCGGTGGAGGAAAATGGGGTAAGGGCACGCTGCAGCCTACAGCGCCCCTTGGCTCCGCCAGGCCACCGTACGGAGCAACCTAAAAAAGAACACCCATTCCGTCGTCTAAACCCGAAAACACCACGTTTCCAACTTCGCACGAGAGAATACTTAATATCTGGTCCCGCCTCGTCCTATCCTGGCCGTCGTCTCTACGGACCTAAGCCAGCATTAGTCTGGCACACAGCAGGCGCCTGCGGCGGCTTTCGGGACGGGCGTCCCGGGCCACGTGCGCCAGCCGCGAGCCCTGCCAAGGCCCCCGGGAGAAGCCCCCCGGGCGGAGCCCCCGCCCAGGAAGGGAGCGCGGAGTCTCCGGCAGCCCGACTTCGGCCGCGGATCGCAGCCGCGCGCTGACGCTCCGCCCCCCCCCAGCGCCGCCATTTTGTGGCGTCCTCGGAAGAGGAAGGCGGGACAGAAAACAGCCAGGTCGCCAGCGCCGGGGCCCAGCCGAGCTTCGCCGACGTTTCGAGACTGCGACGGCCGGGACCGACCGAGGAGACCCCCGAATCCCACCGCCGCACTGAGCCCCGCCCGCCCCCCTGCTGGCCAATCCGCTCGCGGCTCTTCGGGAGCGACTGCGCCGAACCCCAATGGGGTGCGCGCGCGCGCCGCTGCCGCCTCTCCACAGGGCCGCTCTGCAGTCACCGCGCTCTAGCCGAAAGCCCAGGCGGCTTCCTTTCCCACAGCGCGCCTTCCCACACCGCGCCGAAGAGCCCATACTGACCTCCGTAGCCCTGCTCCATGCCTCCAACGCAGCCCGCCAGCCAACCCTTTTCCTAGCCTTCCACAGGACGCTCGCGTTTAACGTACCTTCCGCCGTCCGCTACTGGAAGATGCGCGCGTCACTCCTCCTGCATGCTCTCATTGGCCGGCTCTCGCACAGGCCCCGCCCTGCCGCCCCATCTACTCTCAGGGTTCGCGCCCACAGCATGTCGGGAATTGTGGTTGAGTCCGGGTGTCAGAGTCAAGCCCGCGCAGGCGCGTCCCACCCCCATTCACCCCTGTGCGCAGGCGCAACACTCCCTCCGTACCGCCCAAGGACAGCGCCACGCGTTGGTCGGGGGAAAATTTTTATTTGACTCTATTTCCAGCCTCGGCCCCGCCGGCCCGGGTTACGGGACGCCCCCGCCGCCTTCCTCGTCATCCTCCACGTCAAGGCCTGGGATGCCGCGGATCTGCCGCTGCAGCGCCCCGCCTAGCAAGGGCACGGCGCCCTCCTCTTCCTCCTCGGGGGGTGGCGGCGGCGGCGGAGACGCATTCTCGGGTGCCGGCTCCGGGGGAACAGGGGGCGGTGCAGGGATGCCCTGGGCCCCAGTCGCGGCCCCCACCGCTTCGCCGGGCGCTGTCTCTTCCAAAGCGCCGCCCTCCACTTCTTCCTGTTCCTTGTCCTCCTCCGGGCTGTCGGTGAAAGGGTTCTCGCCCTGCAGGGAGTGAGGGGTGGCAGTGAAGGGTGGTGGACCCGGGGGACGAGGCGGGGCAGGGCCGGGGCCTGCTCCTTCCCTCACCTTAAGGTAGCGCTCCAGCTTCTTGCTGATGAGCTTGTTGTTGAGGATACTGCGGGCCACCATGAGCGAGGACTTCTTGGACTGCTCCATCATGAGCTGCGGGCAGGGCAGACAGGGCTGGAGAAGCCGCTCCTGGAGCCAGGGCCATCCCACCCGACCGGACCCGACCCGACCCGACCGCTCTCCAGCTCACCCCAGCTCTGCCATCACATCCAGCCAGACTGAGGCGGGCAGTGAGGCCACTCCAGAAGTATGGAAACACGACCTGGTCTGACCTTTGGTCAAATGCTCCATCCTTCCATACTTTGTGAGTGACTAAAGGGATAGCTGTATATAGCTCTGTATGTTTATGAAAACTATTAAGCTTGGCTTGGAGGCACATGCCTGTAATCCAAGCACTCAGGGATGCTGAAGCAGGAGGATTTAAAGTTGGAGCCCAGCCTTAGAAATTTAGAGATTGTATCTCAAAAAAGGGCTGGGTATGTGATTTACTATGAAGATCCTGGATTCAATGCCGGTACCACACACAAAAAAGGAAAACTACTTTAAAAGCCAAATGTGCAACCCCTAAAAAAATCAACTGCAGTAACATCCAAGTAGCATGATAGGGTCAAAAGGGACAATATTTAAAAACTGGAATACAAACAGTACATTTAAGTGACGTGGGGCTGGGGATTTAGCTCAGTGGCACAGCCCCTGCCTGGCAAACGCAAGGTCGTAAGTTCGGTTCCTGGTACCAGAAAAACAAAAAAAAAGTTTAAGTGAGGTATGTCCTTTTAACCTACAGGATACAGGGAATGAAGAAATACTTGCGGCAGTGGGAAGACTGTAAAGACACTTCTCTGCTGGTGGGATGATAAATCTTTACATGGTTTTTGGAAGGCAGTTTTGATAATTTGCATCAGTACCTCCTAGCCCTGAGTTTAAGAACCGGAAATACACAATTACACTGGTTGTAGGGCTGAAAAACTGGAAAGCACCAAAATGTTCTTCAATGGAGTAATGAAGAAATAAATCATATATTTGAAAGAACACCATGCAATCCCTAAAATCAAGCTTATCTCTCCATTGGCATAGTAAGAAAATGTAGCAGAGCACATGTCCTGCACACCTACAGTCCCAGCGCTCTGCCAGGCTAGGGCAGGGAGAACGCAAGTTCACATCCAGCCCAGGCAATTTAGCAACTGATGAAGACTCTTGTCTCAAGTGCTGGTCGTGGTGGCGCAAGCCTGTAATCCCAACACTTAGGAGACTGAGGCAAGAGGATCACTGCAAGTTCAAGGCCAGCCTGGGCTAAGGCCAGCCTGAACTGCACAAGGAGACCCTGTCTCAAAATAAAATATTAAAAATACTTTAAAAGGCTAGGAGCTGGGCATAATGGTATAATTTCAGCAGGAGAACTGCCACAAGTTCAAGGCCAGTCTAGGTTTAATACCAGCCTGAACTACATAGCAAGACCCTGTCTCAAAAAAAAAAAAGACTCTGAATTCAATTCCCAGTACCACGGGGAAAAAAGGTGTGTGTGAACAATCTGTACACCATGCCCCAATTATTTTGTGTGGAAGGATTTGTATCAGGCTGTTATGTTATGTCCTCAGTGGTAGGAATCCTGGCCAATCTCACTGTCACCATCATAAAGCTCTAAGCAGAAAATGGACAAGGGTGCTATTTTGTTATGTGGGAAGGCCACTTCCAGAAACCCTGTTGAGCCCCAGACCACAGAAAGCCTCTCTCTTATTTCTATGCCATATTCCACATTCACCTGTCTTTCTCTACTACTTTAGGAAAGTATTAACAAACCTCATGCATGCTCATATCCAGTTATGGAGGCACACCATCAGGGTGGACCACAGATCCCACTCAGCTACGTTTCTCACTTGCCATCACATAAGCGTCCTCCCAGGTGCCCAGATGGATATTTTACAAGCTCTCCAAACTGAGACACATTTAGGTTGTTTCCAGATTTTCATCCCAATAATCACCAGAACAGAAGTAAATACTTCCAGGCTGATGCTTTGAATTCGAACCAAGTGGTCTTCCTAAAGTAATAGTGTTTGATTATACTGGAAAAAAAACCAATTGCAATTCATGCTTCCTCTAATTGCCTTTATGGGTTGAGCCCAGGAGTTGGAGGCCAGCCTGGGCAACATGGTGAGGCCAGGTTCCAGAAACAAGAGCCAGGTGTGGTCCCAGCACTCTAGAGGCTGAGGAAGAAGGATCACTAAGTTCAAAGCCAACCTGGGTTACACAGCGAGTTCAAGGCCAGCCTGAGCTACAAAGTGAGACCAAGTCTCAAGAAACAAAACCCATTAGTATCAGATATTATCACTGTGGCATTTTTGCTGCTGCATAAAAACAAAAGAATGTGTGCTGCTGCCTGGACACTTCTGTGCCCTACCAGCAAGCCTAGTAAGGCTGCAGATCTGTACATCATCTACCTGCCCAGTGTTTCAGTGAGGTCAACTCCTCTTTGGATTCTGGATTTACTGGTTTGCTCAGAAAGGCATTAACACTCAAAGTAAACAAATCATATACATTTTTTCCTTTGCTTTACATTTACATTTTCTGGGACTTAATATATAGTACAAAGCAGGGATCTGATTTTCTTGTCCAGAAGTTTATAAAAGAAGCTATTATTTCCCACTGAGTTAAAATACAAATCCACGCTCCCTTATTTATAAATCTGAAATCCTAAATGCTCTAGAAAACAAAAGATTCCCTCAAAAAACTCATTTGGTGGCAGAACATAAGCCAACACTGGGGCTGGGGATTTAGCTCAGTGGCACAGTGCCTGCCTGGCAAGCGCAACATCATGAGTTCGGTTCCCGGTAATGGAAAAAAAACAAAAAACAAACGAACAAACAACAACAACAAAAAATAAGCCAACACTACATTTTTTGTTGTTGTTTGTTTGTTTTCCAGTACTGGGAATTGAACTCATGACCTCGCGCTTGCCAGGCAGGTGCTGCGCTGCTGAGCTAAATCCCCAGCCCTAAACACTACATTTTTATGCCATCTTTATTTATCCTACTTGTACAGGTCACCTGAATTATTGATTATGCAAATACAAGGCATTTCTCCCAGATCCTGCTGGAGGTTATCAATCCTATGTCACAGTCTTTCTGAAACACCCAAATTAATTCAGAAACACTTAGCCATAAGGGCTTAGAGAAGTGACCTGTACTGTAATAACTACTAAGTTTTGAAACATACTAGGGTCTCTTTTAAGATTCTCTATTTTGGTTGCAGTGTTCTACAACTATGTTAACATTGATTTTCTGTTGCTTTAAATTGTACTGGCTTTGTAATAATTTTTTTTAAGGTGCCTGAAATCAAACTGAGGCCCTCACGCATGCTAGGCAAGAGCTCTATCACTGAGCTATACCATCAGCCTGTAACTCATGGCTGCATTTTTTGTAATCTTTTTGACTATTGTTAGACTTGCAATATCTTGTCAGGCATAGAATTATCGATGCTATATATAGGTACTTAGGTGTGGAAGATGTAAAACCTAGGATCAGCCAGGCATAGTGGGACATGCCTATAATCCCAGCACTGTTACCAATGGTTGAGAAAAGCAGAAAAAGGGCAGAACACAGATGCACAGAGGAATAACTTCAAATGTTCTGTACCATAGGAAGCTAACTACCGTTGACAACTACATTTCCAGAATAGCTAGTGGAGAGAATTTCGAATGTTCACAACACTACATAATACCTGAGGTGACAAACAGATCTGATCATTACATACTGCATATAAGTAATGTAATATCATACTGTACCCCATAATTATGTACAATTATGTGTTGATTAAAAACAAAAATTACAAGGAGGGGCTGGGGATATGTAGCTCAGTAGTGTAGCACACAAAGCATACTCTGGATTCTGAGTGCATTTCCCAACATCAGAACAGATAAAATGTTCACACACACACACAACTTTATAAGTGTTTGAGTATGTGTGTAAAGAAAAAGATGTAAAACTTCTATTTCATTCATTCCCCGTTTCTGACCTAGATTCTGATTTGTACCGTAAACAGCAATTTGGGGAAAATGGGTTTTTGCTTTGTTTTGCTATCATTATTATTATTG